TGTAAAAAACTTCTTCCAAATTCAAAAATGCCTACCTGCAGCTAATAAGTATTTAACTAATTCCAAATGACCCTCTTGAGCAGCTTCCATTAAAGGGGTAGAACACCCTAGTTCTATATCAGCTCCTGCCTTAATCAGAAAGTCTGCCACTTCCAGAAAGCCTCCACAGCAAGCCAAAGTCAAGGCAGTTTCTTGAGTTTCTTCTGTCTGTGCGTTGATATTTGCTCCTAAAATAAAGATTCTAATTATTTAAAGAAAGTCATTAACTTATTCTAGAGATAAGCAAAATATGATTGTTTCGTAATAAGCTATATCTCAAAAATGAATGTTTGGTATCACTATACTAAATAAGAAAAAGCCTCTCCCTTACTCCTCGGGCAGTAAATAAAACCACATCCACTAGTCCACATTTGATGTGCACAGCTAGAGTATTATTTATGTAGCCAAAAGTTAAAAGTGATAAAAAGGTCTCAGAAAAATAAGCTACATCTCCTTATCATGATTCAAAATGATGATAAAAACATTGACGATGATGATGATGATGATAGTAATAGCGAACATTTAATAAGCACTTACTATTTGCCAGGCAATATACAAAGGAGTTTCCCAATTGTTTAGGTATTACTATCAGCTCCATTTTCCAGCTAAGGAAACTGAGGCTAATTAACTTACCCAAGGTCACATTATCACCATCATTACTACTACCACCGCCATAGCTAATGCTTAACCGGCACTGTATGACAAGCACTGTTCTACAAGCTGTATACACACATATTAACTGTCACGACCACCCTACAGATAAGAAAAACTGAGGCACAAAAGGTTAGAAACTTGCCTAAAGCTACAATATTGTCAAGGCAGTGGAGGTGTGATTCAAATTTAATAAGTCCACTCTAAAATCTATGCTTTTAAAATTCTAGTCAATATTACCCCTAAATAAAAACAAAAGTTTTTTTAAAAGTGTCATTCCTCTTAAATTTGTCCCAACAAAAATTTTATTACTACTAAAAATAAAATAAAATCAGGCTACAAATACAAAGATAGGAAATTACTTCTAAACTTAAGGTATCTTAAGACAGTAAAGTACTTGTTTCACTTTTCCTGAAAGAAAAGTTTACTACATACTAAGCTCCTTGATAGCTTCTGATGTGCATTCTTATACTCTCATCAAGTTAGTCCTTATGGCAGGGCTTCCCACACTGTTTTATGAAACATTAGATTTATCAAATATTTATTAATAGGTATTCTGCCCCAAAAAGGAATTAATTCCCTTGATATATTACCTTTAGAAATGTTGAATCTCTCATACTCCCCTACTTAACCAACAAGTCTATGCCAACTCCATTTCTGTTTTTTATTCACATGGAACATGATGACTCTGAAAGCTCTATATTTAAAAAATTCATCTGATTTTGTTTAGCACAGTATGGAAGCTTGAAAATAGCAAATATGTTATCATTAGTTTAGGTAACAAAATCTCACTGCAAATCTACTAAAAGGTAAAACAGTGAAATTCAATTTTATAAAATTATACTGTTAGGTTTTACACATTAATACTTCATCATCTTGATTGATATGGTTACCTTGGCCTAGAAGTAATGCCACCATTTCTTCATGTCCTTCACGAGCTGCTTCCATCAATGGTGTATAACCTTCATCATTGACCTCTTCCAGGCTAGCTCCTCTTTCAATAAGTAAAGCCGCAAGTTCCACATGCCCACCACACGCAGCCAAAGTCAACGGGGACTCAAATGAATCAGCAGGCATGTTCACTTGGGCACCACTGTCAAGAAGTAACCTAGCTACTTCAACATGGCCATCCTAATCATAATGCAATTAAAAAATTAAATCAGCACAATTAAAAAAACTTGTATAAAGACTTCTCAATTACTATTAAATGACGCTCACTGATCTCCATTGAAATAAGAATTAATGTACATTTAACAGTTGAGTAAATCAACATTTATTATATTTTGCCTATACTTTTAGCATAAAAGAAGGAAACAGAGGCTAATCATATAAAACAAGCAGAAAAATAATACCTTCAATCAAGAAATTTATTAATCAGGAAAGAAAACAGTATATAAAAGAGAATACTGTGAGACTGTAGATAACATCAACACTGCATGGTATAAATTTAAATGCTAAACAATAAAGTTCAGAGAGGAAAGTAGGATTTTCATAAAAATCTGTAAAACTATGCAAACTTGATTACGTAGAAAAATAAAAATACAACAATTTTTGGAAATTATTGGGGATTTATAATGTATTAGAGGAACACAATATATACATGGTATTTTCACTGGCATTTGAATGATGAACAGCAAATTAAGCAAAAGAAAAGGAAGTTTTCTTATTGTCTTCTTTCTCCGTTAGTGGTCACTCTTTCCCACAGCTTTCCTAATTACTGGCAATTTCATGGCTCTCTTTTCCCTTCTTTTTTAACTTTCATAATTTTTTCCCCCTTCTATATATTACTCACAGCCATTTCATCTTCCTCTTAATATGTCATGCCCATTTTTGCCTCCGTGCCTGTCAGATTACACAACTCTATTGTCTTATTGCTATGGTTACTTTGCTATTTCTTCAATTCTGAATCTCCTGCCTACATAATCGACTCCTACAATTTCATTAAGTCCAGTTGAAAATCTGAATATTTTAGCAAGCCTTCCAAATGTCTGGCCCCTACTAATATCTTTCATTTACTTAAAACATGTACTTCTGGTGCATACTGGTTAGTTCTATAGAATATTCCATTTTAATTTCTTAATCTACACATAGGCTATTTCCTCAGTGGGGGGTGGCAAGGATGATTAAATATCCTTATCATGGGGAATTGTTAAAACTATTACTGTTAATAGCATTATTGATGTGATTTACACATATTACCTCAGTTAATCCTCACAACCACCCCAGAAATATTATACTCATTTTGCAGATGAGGAACTCAAAAGCAGTGAAGAAAACTTGTATTTGTTCAAAAACAATCTACTAAAGCAAACACTAAAATGCCAATAAGGAAAATAATAGATAAGTTTTAAATGACTGCCTAATTGTTTAAAAATTAGTAAATAAAATTTAACATCCTTTCAATAATCATTCTCTGAAGGGAAGTTGATATAAGAAACTTCAAATTCCTTTGGGGCCTTTTCCTGCTTTGGCATGTTTTCCTTGTAAAACTATCTAAAATCTTACTCTGATCCATCTCTGTGTCATAAATCATAAATCCAGATACAAAGGTGTAAGAGTACTATTATGACCCATTCCTCAGTATAAACTCTAAAAAAAGAATCCAGGGCTGAGAAAAGACCATGACAAAGGGGAAACTATGTAACACAATTAATACTCCACTTTTAAATTATTCTTTATTTATTGGTTTGAGATACATATTATGCTTGGTATTATATACATACTCCAGATTATATTTTCCTCTTTAATAACCTTGATCTACCTTCAAAGATGTCACTTTTGTGCCAATTAGATAAAACCAATATAGAGTTATATGAGACTAAGGGAAAAAAAAAGCAGGTAGCACAGCAAAGTTTCAGAAAGTAACTCTAATAGAAGTTAATATTCAACTTCTAATAGGAGTTAATATTTCAACTGACTCTGAAAACTACCAATAATTCAGATGGCTAAAGTCCTGCTCCACAATAAGGATAAAAAGAATCTTAGCACCCAAGGAAAAGGCACTCATTGTACACTTGCTCTGTCTCTCTCTACCTAATATATAAATATATTTTGCGTATGTATTTCACCAATCTTACCATGCAAGCCTCCATTAAAGCAGTGTGCATTTCATCTGTTTTATGCTCTTGATCCGCGCCTGCTTCCAAAAGAAACCGGACCATCTCTAAGTGTCCTAAACCAAAAGTGTACAAGATTACTTAAAAATATTTTATTATTCAAAAAAACATTTTTTAAAATTACAGTATTCTCAGAAGCTATATTTAACTCATATCATTAAATTTATAAGCATAATTAAAGTCAACTGCAAGCCACCCTCAACTGTCAAACACAAATTATACAAATGATCTTGATGTTCTTCTACTCCTTATCCTATTGCCCTAAAAACTGCTGCTACTAGAATCCCTGCTATAGGTGAACAAAGATGTCTTTAAAATCCAACACATACAATATCCCCTCTACAAACCTTTAAGAACCCAGGCATGCTATAATTATTTTATCCATGCTATGGAATAAATTAGCTTTTATAAACAAGTAGCATGGAATGATAATCATTCAAGTTACTTCTATGAGGAAATGTGTTTTAAGTTCCAATAAAAAACATTTTTAAAAACAACCTCCTTGTAAATTGGCAACTCCACATATAAAAGCATTCTTGAAACCATACCATTTAATTTGTAATTTATTTGGATATAAACATACATATACACACAGATACACATATATTTATGCAGTTTCAAATAAACCATGTGTTTCAGTTCAGATAAAGATACCTTATGAGCAGTTAAAATGCAGAAGACAAACTATTAATATAATTTAAAAAGGACTTCAGATTTTATGCAAGAAACAATAGAAAAATGACTTCTTTTTTTCCCAGTCTTATTTGCAATGAACTACAATTCTTAGTCAACTACGGGGTTGGGGTGGGGGGAGATGGATGGATAGCATAGTCATATGTAAATAGTTAAAATTTACTTTAACGAGTAAGTACAGTATCTGCCACATCTTGTATTTGCTAACTGCCCACCTACCTTTTCCTCTCTGTCATTCTCTCCTCTCAACGATCCATATTAATGCTCAGTCTCATTCTGAGTTCCGTACCTTCTCCATCTCCTCCTTATTAATCTACATCCTAGGAAACCTCACCAGAAATAGAGGAAAGGAAGAGGGTCCTTGGATCCCTGGGAATAACAGGGATGTTCTCCACCAGCTCTGTTCTCTATCCAGCTTCTAATTAAAGCCGGCAAGCCCCAACCTCAGATGTCTCTTTTGGAAAGCAGGGTAGGGCTACAAGCAAAGGGGAAAATAAGTAGCCCCATCTCAAAGCTTTCTGGCCAGCTGGGAAATAGTAGTGAAATGCAGCCAGTTCAGGATCCACAAGTATTTGTGAAAAGAGGAGAGAGCTACCCAATCAGCCCACCCCACGGTTTCATTCCTCTCCTCCCAATGAAGATCAGCCTCTGCCTAATTACCAAAGAGGGCTAGGGAAGTAAGAGACCTCAGCTGTGCTCCCTATATGAAACTCTGTTAACATCAGATAATCAAAAGCACTTTAAATAAAACATATTTTTGAAATTTAATTTAAGTTTTAATCATTTTTGTATCTAAGCATTATTTACACATGTTGTTAAAGGAAACTATTTCAAAAGACCCCACACAACTTTGGCCACTCTTAAATAGAAGAAAATAAAACAACACCAGCGCTAGGACTAGAGTGAGAAAATCAAAACCCAGGGTGCAAAACTTAAGGAGGCACTCGCTCACAAGCTTATGCACGTGAAGGGACAACCCTTGAGAGTGAGGGCCTCCTTAAATTGTGTACTAGGCCTTAAAAGAGCTTTTTCTTGATGCCTCAGGGTCAAGAATTTATCAGTTATTTTATGATACAAATATGGCACAGATGCAGATGGTATGAAATATTGAAATGAATGGCTATGAAGACACACAAATCTCATGACATTTGCTTTTTTGTTGTTGTTGTTAAACAAAAAAGTTCCTTACTTTAAAGTAAAACATCTTACTTTATAGTCATTTATCTGTCATACATGTAGAGTCTGAAAAATGTTTGGAATCTAGAGCATTAATTACCTGCAGACCAAGTATCTTTCTAGGCAATTTTCTGGTCTGTAGAAAGGAGGGTATTTTCTGTATTATCAATATTTTCAGGTTGGTTGACATCATTTAAAATATCACGTACACACTCTATGCCAGGCAAAATATTCCCAACATGTGAAACCATTATAAAGTACGGTTCATATTAAAATAACTGTTTCTGATAACACAACTAAACAAATTGTAATTTTTCATTGATAATATTTATAATGTTTAGTCTATATTTTAAAAGTTTATGTATTAAACATGAACTGTGAAACACTTAAAAACACTTGTTTAATATTTAATTATACACTATACTATATTTTAGTTTTCATTTTAAAAACCAGATCCTATAAAATAATTATAATTTCATGTGTTTAAAACTTTGTTTCAGAAAAGGTTTATACTGTACCTTTGTAACAAGCTAATGTAAGGGCACTCTCTTTAAATTCATTGGAATGCGTATTAATGCCAGCCCCATTTTCTAGCAGCAATCTGGCTACTTCCACATGTCCAGCACTTCCAGCTTCCATAAGAGGAGTATGACCATTTTCATTATGGTCCTCAATACTAGCACCGGATTCCAAGAGCACCTTAACAACATCTACATAGCCTCCAGCACAAGCATATGTAAGTGCTGTATTGCCTGTTTTAATGAGGAAAAAGAAAAAGACATTGATATAAAATATCAAAATAAAGCATCTAATTTACATTAAGAAAACTGAAAGATCGTAATCAAATATCAAATAATACATTTTCTATATTTTTGTATCAAATAATACATTTTTATAATCCTTTCCTATTGCATCTTATCTTTCTGAAATCAACTCCCTATCCTTCTTTTCCATTTAAAAACAGAGTCAAATACATATGGAAAATCAGATACACTTATAAAGACTGTAGAGTTGTAAAAGAACTGAGTAATTCTTCCCCGAAACTAACTTTTCCCTTTCTGATGAGAGAAAAGTTGCTTGTTCTAACTTTAATCAAAGAAACGTTTCACAAGCTTTATTCTGTTATTTTTATGATTTTAACCTAAAATTATTCATCATATACATATCTTATACCATTCCTTTTAATCATATATATTTGTTTTCATTACAACTTCAAATACCAGTTAACTGATCAAAGCTGAAGTACTTTCAAAAACATTCTTTCTTGATGATAAAAATTTCCCACGTTACAAGCAAAATCAACTTTCTGGATAAAATGAGGATTCTAAAACTCCTTCAAACAAGAACATGTAGACCTTAAAAATGGTTAAAAAACATCTAAGAAACTTGAAAAATTTAAATAAAAATATACAAAATATGTTTTTCTATAATTTTAGAACTTTCATACAAATCCATCTAGGGCAAAGTTTGGAAAAAAAAGTTGTTTTCACTAAAGTGATACTCTTGTGTGGCACCATGTTTTCATAATATTAACACTTTCTTTTTCTGTAGGCTACAATTAACAAGAGTAGAGAATTATAGACTGTCCCTCTGTTCCATATTTTTTTTTTTTTTTGAGACAGAGTCTTGCTCTGTTGCCCGGGCTAGAGTGTCGTGGCATCATCCTACCTCACAGCAACCTCAAACTCCTGGGCTCAAACAATCCTTCTGCCTCAGTCTCCTGAACAGCTGGGACTACAAGCATGTGCCACCATGCCCAGCTAATATTCCTATATATTTTTAGTTGTCCAGCTAATTTCTTTCTAATTTTAGTAGAGACAGGGTCTCAAACTCTTGAGCTCAAACGATCCACCCGCCTCGGCCTCCCGGAGTGCTAGGATTACAGGTGTGAGCCACCGCGCCCGGCCCTGTTCTATATTCTTTTATTCTCCCTATCTTCCCTCTTCTTCTCCCCTGAAAAACCTGGATTTGAGAGCTGTAGCCCACACCTCTCCATTTCCAAGAGGGTGGTCCCAATAACTGGGTCAGTGTTTTAAACTAATCTAAAAGAATCTTAAAAGGCCAAGTTGCCCTCATAAACAAAATATGAGAAATTGCATTAAAATATATTGTATATCCTTCAAACCTCATACACAGACTTATGCAAATGCGCAGCACTTCTAAGAAATAAGAGAACTGATCACATTCATGTGAAACAATTATTACTAAAGGATGTTACTATTTAGTGAAACTCAAAAAGAAATGTGCATGACCTGTTGAAGACTGTGCATTGACATCAGCTTTATGAGCTAGCAGCAACTTCACAATTTTGACATGTCCTCCATTAGCAGCAGCCATTAAAGGTGTAATGTCACCTTTGATTCCCCTATCTTCCACATTTGCATGCATTGCCAACAAAACCTTATGAAAGAAAAATGAATTTTAAAGGATATTAGAAAATGATAATTTCATCAAAAAATTTTGAAAAGAAATATTTACATAACACCCACCTAGTCATATTATAGTAAAAAAGCCAATACGTACACAAAACCTATCTCACAAAAACTATTTTTATTGAAATGAACCTAATGGCCAGAAGGGTTTATTTTATTATTTCCTTACTAAGAAGGGCAAATTAAAAAAAAGCTTTATTTTCATAAACAAACCTGTGCAAGCTCATAGTATCCAGCAGAACAAGCTAAACAAAGGAGGCTCTCCCCTTCCTCGGTATGTTCATTTACACTTCGCCCTTCAATGAGGAGCTTTCGCACAGCATTTACATCACCTTCTGAGCAGGCTTCTGCCAAACTGCGGCTATGGTGGGAAGAATACTGTTAATATCAGGATATTAAAAAAATGCACAGCATAAGTATTGGGTTTTTGATATCAACCTTGACAGGAGCGCTAAACAAGAATCATTATTTCAATATGATTCATAACAAAATGCTAAAAATGATTCAGTTCACTGAGTTTTAATCTACAAAGAAATGTCACTAAATTAAAATTGTCAATGTTCCTAAATGTTTTCAATTATGCAGCTGAAAGTCTAGTTTACTGTGGGTAGAAAAATAACATACAATTATAACATGTAAAATTTTATAGAAATCACACACAAAATACAGGTTATAATTATATTTCTTTTTTTGGTCACTAGAGTATTTTTACAAAATTTAAATAAGAAGTATAAAACGGACAAAAGTCGTACTAAATACAAAAACCTATATGAGTCCTTCCATCAAGTAAAGGGAAATCAAACAGAAAAGATGGGAGAATATAGTATTAATATACAAATAACTGATAGAGTTTTTAAAAGAAGTATTTATTTATATTTTAGGGCAATTCTCAAAAAATCCAGGCAAGGAAAAAGCTGAATTCAAGCAAAAAGAGAGTGGGAAAAGTGGAGTAACAGACAATTAGACTGAGACTGAAGTTTTTACCCTCTAAACTTCCCATAACAATTCTAACTACAGAGATTTCTAAAGATTCTATTGTTTTTGGATAAAATTCATTCTAAAACTAAATCCAGGGCTATTAATATTTTCTTTATTTAAAATATAAGTCAATTCTTGTATTATCCTCTTGAAACATGGCCCTGTCATTTCGGTTATTAATGGCTCCCATGGATAACCACTTTTCTATACCTCTGTTATTACCAGCACCTAGATTTAAGAGCATGATTTTTCGCCTAGATATGGCAAAGCCTCCTAACCAGTCTCCCTGCTTCACCCTTGCTCTCCTCTTCAGGCTCTTTTCAACAAGGCAGCCAGACAGAATTATTTGAAGGAAAGTAGATCATGGCACTCCTCTGCTCAGAAACCTCCACTGGCCTCCAATCTCACTGGCAGAGCCAAAATCCTTACAAGACCTACTCAATGGCAGGGTATCACGCCCCTCTTTCCTTTTACCTCTCTGGCTTCATCTATTCTCTCACCCTTATTCTTTCCACTGTGGCCACACTGGCCTTTTTGCTATTCATCAAATATGCTAAATAAACTCTAACCTCAAGATACCTGAGGTTATTTGCAACAAGATATTTGCTGTCCCTATGCCAAGACGGCTTCTCTTCTAGACATAGCTTACTCCTTTACCTATTTCAGGTCTTTGCTAAAAAGTGGTATTTTAAGTAAAGACTTTACAGACCACCCTATTAGAAATACAACGTGACCTATGCTATGGTTTGAATATGTGTCCCCTCCAAAACTCATGTTGAAATTTAATCCCCAATGTGGCAGTGTTGAGGGGTGGGGCCTTTAAGAGGTGATTGGGTCATGAGGACTATGCTCTCATGAATGGATTAATGGGTTAATGGATTAATGGGTTATCATGGGAGTGGGACTGGCTTTATAAGAAGAAGAAGAGAAACCTGAGCTAGCACACTCAGCCTCGTCGCCATGTGATGCCCTGTTCTGCCTCAGGACTCTCTGTAGGGAGTCCCTACCAGCAAGAAGGCTCTCACCAGATGTAGCCCCTCAATGTTCGACTTCCCAGCCTCCATGAAGTGTAAGAAATAAATGCTTTTTCTTTATAAATTACCCAGTTTCGGGTACTCTAAGCAACAGAAAATGAACTAAGACAACCTCCAACCCAAACACTGCCCTAGTACTTCCTCATTTACTTTTTTCTCACAGTTCTTATCACTATGCCATACTACACATTTTATTTGTTAACTGTATTGTCACCTTATCAAAAGTGAAAGTCTTGAACAGCCCGCCTCTCAAAAGTTTCTTTAAATTTCTCATTTCATATGACACTGACAGTCCCTAGATCCAATACTCCCTATTTAGGCAAGTTTAGGACAAATCCTTCCCATAAGACATTTATTGTGTTGAAGAGTATACCTTTTGTCACTTTCAATGTAGTGTCTCTCTCCCTCTCTCTCTCATTCTCTCTCTCTCATCATGCATATCACCGCCCTCATCTACTTTACCATTTGGATTTTTCATTCAATTTCCATATACCTAGTGTTTGCTAGCTTTAAAACAACCCTACAGGATCTACTTGAGCAACAGTTGAAGTTCAGAACTTGTGAGGAAAGGGCACATGAAATCTGGCACATGGCACTGTACTGATTTAGTAGAAAATTTGGCACATAGCATTCATAGCACTTAACTCCACCATATTTCTCAAGCTTTGTTGAATAAATATGATTATGCCAAACTTGCTCTATTATTTTGCTCATAAATTCCAATATTTTCTTTAAAAAAATCTATGACTTTTTACTTTTCTATTCTATTTCCTGTTTGAACTAGCTTCAATAGCCCCTCCAAGGTGTTTTCAATTTTCTCTCTTGCCAATCTCAGCAGGCACCATATGAAAAAATATCTGGAAAATATCAATAATATTATAGGCTAGTAAAATTGAACATTAAGAATAGAACCCAAGGTTAACTAAAGAATGAGAGTCAATCTATAAGAATGATAAATTAATGAAAACACAAAAATCTAGATGAATAAAAGACTAATAAAGAGCCAAGGAAACAGCAAATTCATGCATTTGTTAATACTGTACCTCTCTTTTATGCTCTTAGAAGACGCTGCATAAAAATGCTATTTATTAGACAAAAGATAATGATTCTTTTCTAGTTGCTTCCTTGGAGTTTCTACCCATTTTACAACATACATACATAACAGCATTTGTATATGAGATGGTATGATTTGTACTGTATTAATATCATCAGAAAAACTGAAAATGCCAAGTCACAAAATATTTACTGAGTCCTTACTAAGTATAAAGTATTATATACAAGGAACTGCAGGAGATACAAAAACCAAGTCACTGGACTCACTTACATTCAAGCTATAGGAACTAGATCTATGATTTTTTTAAACTTCATGAAACAAATAAATAAAAGCCCTACTCTTTAAAATGGTCCAAACTATACACATAAACCGGAAAGTGGCAGGACTAATTGAAAAGTATTTACTTCTTTGCTCCAATACATTAAAAAAGCCCAAAATCTAAATAAGCAAAAGATCTGTTATAATATACGGACTAAATTCAGCCTTGTATTCAGACACCTGTGCTCTGCCACTTGTCACCTATTTGGTCTTGATTAAATTACTCACCTTTCTTCAGCTTTCCACCTGTAAAATGGAAGGTAAAAACAAAATCTATGTCTTAAAAGATATCTGTGCATATAAATAAGATGTCATATGTTAAGCAAGTAGCACAGTACCAGGTACAAAATAAATGCTCAGTAAATGTTAGCTATTTTTATTATTTTTAAGAAAATAGTTTCATACTGATCACAGGAAAAATGTACCTACTTGTCCGACTGCCCTGCATTTGCTGTGCTTTCAGCTCTCATACGGGTAAGTGCAGCAGCAGCTTCATCCAACGCACAACTAACAGACGATGTCAACCTCCGGAGCACTTCGGGATCTGCAAAGGCTTTACCATCAGCCGTGGATAATTTGCCTATTCCTATTATATTATTTTCACACCAATATGGACACACCCAAAAAGAGAAACAAAGCAAAATTCAAGTTACTTATATCTATATATTACATGTTAACAAATAACCTCCAAATGCTACAATGGACATACATACTGTCAAACTGGCATCTGTTGAGAAATCAGTGTTCTCCAATTTTCTAATAATCTTATTTCTTCCCTGTGATTCATAAGCACTTGATCCTGTGACCCTCTAGTGCCAGAAATGAGTCTTTGGCCTATGATGGCACAATTAGGAGTCCTCACTTAAACTTTTGTCATATCTTTGAAAGAAGAACCTATGTTCAAAGGTTGCTAAATTGGTAAGATGTGAGTCATGAGCTATTCAGCCACTTTTATTGCCACATACAGAAAAAGATTGCTCAAAATAAAGTCAACATACAGGAGAGCAGAGAAACAGAAAGAAGGAGACAGAGCCCTGATAAAATTATTTTTGACTCATTGACGCCAACAGTGCCAGAAGCCAGCATCATCTCTATGCTTTGGTAAATGTCCACTTTTGCTTAAGAATGTTTAGTTGGGCTATCACTTGTAACCAAAAATGGCCTAAAAAGGCATTATACACTGTATATAAAAGATAAGCTATATATGAGTACCTCATTTCAAATTATGTCTATAACTTACTCCATATACTCAAAATCCTGTCTAAACATACCATATCTAAAAATCATTCAGAACAGCAAAAGAAAAATAACGTTAAAACAGATGTGGTTAGTAACCATCTGCATGAAACATAACTTTTTGCCTTTCTAGATATCCCTACAAAGCAAGCTTGTCTCTGACCTTTATTACTCTAACTCAGTGGTGCTTAATCCAAGCTGCCTACCAGCATTACCTGTGGTCCTTTTCAAAAATATAGATGCTGAGCTCTCCCTATCTGGAGATCTAATTCAGTACGGGGGCTCTATGCATTTTAAAAGTACTAAGGTGATTCTGATGCACAGTCAGAAATAAAATCCTTTACCTCTAATGTTATAATGGATATTATATAACCCTGCTATTAAACATGTGGTCCACTGAACAGAAGCACTGCTATCATTTGGGAGCTTGTCGGAAATGCAGAATCTCAGGCCCTAAGATATATTGATCCAAAATCTGCATTTTAAAAAAGATCCCCAAGTGATTCAGACACACATTCAAGTTTAATGCTATTATAGGTTTTAAAACTAACTATTTAAGACAGAAAAAGGACCACTCACTTGGTAATAATAAACATATCTGCAGATACATATACAACAGTGAAAGGGCCTCAATAATAACACATAAGTTTGTGATTAAAGTTTATAAAAGTTTACGCTTGCTTGCCTTTCTTTAAAAAAAAAAAAAAAAGACTAAGACAGCAAATAAAAACTAAGACATCTCCCAAAACCAAAATAAATCTAGCAAGAAGCCTTTATGACTTTAGCTATAATAAAATGTTTAGAGCAGTCAAATTTCACATCTGCTACAATCAACATATACAAAGGATCAGAATAGTCTTGGTCTGATAAGAGTTACACCTACTGTATAATTTGTGTCACTAATA